CAAACAAAATTGTGCCTTTATATTTTTAATATTTTTCAACTGCTATTGTTACAATGTGTTATAAGCCTTGTATTAAATTTTCAAGCTTTTTTTCCCAACAAATACATTTTTATCGATATTAATTTTTAAAAAACTTATAATGATCGAAAATTGTATATGCCTATGAATAGTTCAACAAGTCGAAAATTCTTCGAAATTGCATGGTGGATAGAATATACACTTATACAAACATTCAGTGAAAACCTCATGTATCTATGGCCATTTGTTTTAGTGTTACATCAAAAACCAAAATGATTTTGTCGAAAACTTATTGTACGTACAATTTCCCGATTTTCCCTTAATTTATAGTTTGTTTAACTCGATTATTTAGAAAAATATTAAGAATGTTTTACTTTTGTCCCCCAAAAGTACCAACTAGATTCTCTTTCTGATCGGACGAGGTACTGAAGTAAAAAATCGAAGCATTTTTATTGCCCCAAAACATGACAGAACAAAAAAAAAACACACACACATCTTGGTAAAATCAAAACATTCCTCGCTCCGCTCAGAATCTAAAATTTCAGTTTTTTCTTACTTTTTTTTTTGTTCTACCATATTACTGAGAAAAGAAAGTACGTACATTTCAAATTTTTACTTCTCATAGGTAGGTACAAACGGAATTCAATTTTCAATCATAAAYCATACTCAAAGTTGAAAACCAAATCATTTTTTCCACTATTTGCTGTATAGGGATATAAAAAAAAAAACTTTATTGGAAAATCAATAAATTAAAAAAATTTTGTCATATAAGAGTAAAAAGCTTATAATATGCTAACAATATAACACATAATTTTTTCAGAAATTTCTTATAAACTAGGTATATATTTGGTACCTGYGGCTATGTAATAAAAATATTCATAAAAACGTTGGTGTTTACTGAATTAATGATAGTGTCAAATGTCAATGTCTGACATTAAATGAAATACACCGTTCTGGTAGACAGCATAAGAATACATCTAAAATTAGTTTTTATAAGTGGGGGGAAGGAGGGAGTTGACTTCATATTATTCAATAAATCCATTTAATAATATAAAATTTAGGTATTATATAAGTACATCACTTATACAATTAAACAATAGTAATACTCTGGCCTTATGTGACCCATTAACAAAAATTTTTTTGAAAGTAATCCATTTCTCCGTTATGTGTATCTTAATGTGAATTGTCTAACTATTATAAAAATATAAGTAATAATTTAATATAACAAATAAATATTATTTTTAATTAAGTCATAGTTATGACCAAAAGTGTTTAATTTTTTTTCTGGTTAATATTTTATATTTAAAAATATAAATACTTAATACTATAATAATTTTAAAAGATAATTTATTGTAATTTTTAAGCCCAAAAACTCAAAAATTTGTGTTTTTTATAGTAATCTTGTAATCATAATATGATTAATTAGTACAATAAATTATATAAATACATTTTTAATCAACACTTATGTATAAATATAAATTTAACTCTTGTTTTTATACATATTGTAGCTTATAGTAATGAGAGTTGTACATAAGAAACTTATTGCATTAAATTGATTCATTATTTTGTATTCTCCTGTAACAATTGTTTCATTTTAGTATAAAATATATAATCTATCTCAAGCTTGATATGTTGTTTAATCGTTGTATTATTTATGTTTTTGAGTCTTTGTATTACATATTCCCCATACAGTTGGTCTTCATCAGGTTCACATATTTTTTTGTTTTCAAAGATGAACTGTGTTGTCAATGGTGGCCAAGATGTTTCATCAAAGTTTGGTTTAACTTTATTTGATTCATTTTCAACTTGATCTAATACCTAAAGAAATTATATTTATAAATCAGAACATTAAAATTATASAAAAAATTAGGTTGAAAAAAAATAGTAATTTTTTTATATAATGCCACCACATCAACCTCTCCTCCTCCTAAATAAGTATTGAATTGTAGATTAGTATCACTATAATTCATTTAATATACCTGAATATTATATTTT